GCCCGCCGCTTATTAAGCCCAATTTGGTCTGGGCCCGAGGTGGGTTTAATAGAAGGCGACTTCTGTACTACAAAGAATATTTAGTGCATCTTTTCCATAAAATATATCTTAACAGATAAGGCCATTGAAAACCAACGTGAAAAATGCATACTGCTTAAATGGCCAGTTTTTGCAGAGTATACTTTTTTGTGGGCGATCAGAGAGAAGCTGACTCAAAATCAAGCATCCTGACACGACTAAAATGTCTCCGGATTATGCTGCATCACAATAAAAATTGCAACCTTACTGCATTTTTGGAATCGAAAACACATTCCAAAATCTCGGTTGGCATTTAATTAATCAGGGAATCTACTGTAGGCGATCTCGAGCGGCATATGGAGGTCGCAAAGTAAAGCTACTTAGTGGAAAAAATTGTAAAAAAACAGTACTAAAGATAGAATGTAAAGTGTGACAGAAACTTATTTTAGACAATGCAATATGAAATGTCTAATTTTAAAGCATGTGGTTGCCTACATTTAATTCAGTTTTCCTAGTAGTTATTTGATACTTAGGCTTCAGACAGCACCTGAGCCGGAAAATTCCACTTGTATTTGACAAGAAAGACATCGGTGCTTAAAAGCAAAAAAAACCAACACGATAGAAAAACGAAAATGATGGTGTAGCAGAAGGGTAACAATAGAGAATACGCCAAAATTCGCACAGACGGTCGACAGGTTCGTACTTCCTGCCGAATTAACAATCAATTCAATGTAAAAATTGCAAACATATTAAAGTGCAACTTTGAGCATTGTTATTCATAATGCTGTCACCTTCAAGCAACTTAACGACTGCCGTCGCATTGGGGTCATCACGTTTTAGACGAGCACGATCGATGGGTCTTAATCCGTCAACGTCATACACATTCGGATTTGCACCATGCTTGAGGAGTAATTCGCAGACCTCTACACGACCAAAGCCGGCGGCGTAGTCGAGAGAGGTGCGGGCTCCGGCCTGAACATCAGCTCCGCGCAGACACAACTGCTCTACCATGTAAGGCGTGCCAAACGATGAAGCCCAGTTCAGAAGCGTCTGACCTCGATTGTCCAGGTGATGCAAATCCAGAGCTTTGTTGGACAGCAAGTTGTCAAAAGCCTCTACATGAAAAAATGATGCATTAAATGTATAAAGAAACGGTGCGAAATTGAACACAGGATATAAACTAATTAAGGTTTAAACCTACCCTTGTCTTGTTTCCTTATTGCCTCCACTGCAGCACGATAAGCGGCTTCCCGTTCGAGTGGACTGAAGGAGGGCTTGTTCTGAGTATCGTCAACCGCAGGAAGCTGACTCTTTTCCTCCTGATCCACACGAAGCGATCGTGGAAAGACCTCGGGTGCATTATAGGACTGTTGGCGTGATCGTAGACCTTCATAGGTCTCTGCCACTCGGCCCTCGCCAAGGATGTAGATAAGTACTTCAATGAGCCGAAATACGCTAGATGCTATACTATCCTCACCGTAGAGGAGGATATTGGCCAGGGTGGATGCAAGGTGATTCTCAGGACTTAGCAGACGCTGAGTTGCTGCGGCCGAGTTGCAGCACAGAGTAAGCAGAAGGCTAGTCAAGGCGTCTACGAGAGCCGGATTTGAGGGCCCTGAATCGGGAGTTTTACCCTGATCTCCAAGATTGCCTGTAAGATTGTGATCAATGACAGAGGTGAATTTGATGCTTACACATTATGGCAATGAATGTGCTGTAAGAAAATAAGAAATAGCATACCCAGAGCTCGAAATGAGGTGAATGAGGTATCCCCATCAAGTTGTTCAAAGCCAGGAACGGATTTTTTGACATTGGTACACGCAGCACCGCCAGCGACGCTTAAATGATGCGATAACTGATCAATCAATTCAGCCGTTGCTACTGGGGTTGGATCACGACCTGCACGTGCGAATCTGTTTACGATGCTAGCAAGCGCCTGTAGCGAGTTATCAATAACACGCTGGTCGTTATGATTCAGTAATGCACTGAGTGATTCAATCCATGAGTCCAGACTAGGGTCTGTGGGTTCGCAGTGTGAGCAGAGGGTCTTGACTAGATTCATGCCAGCTTGAAGGACATCAGCATGGATGTTTTCAGAATACAGTTGAACGAATCGCAGAACACTGGTTAGGCCGCCTGCTCGGTAGACGGGCACCGGTATATGATTTGCGATTAGTTCTAACATCTACAGAAAAAGAAATGTGCGCAAAATTGATACATGGAGTGATTTACAAATTCTGATAGATGAAATTTGACAAATTTTTTGCATGCAAACCGTAAAAGAAGCCAGTATAAGAAATAAAAAATCAGCACAGAGGTGGTAAGGTCCGGCAGTCAGGTAATGAGAAACGGTACCATAAATGGCCAGGTAAATTGGGAAACGCACTTTGACTATTTGTTGCCCAACTTCGTTGCTCTTTTCGGACATCATATCGACCGCATCGAGCCTGGTGCACATTATACGGAGATCCCGCTCCTTTATTGTTTGGATAGCGTGAGTATCGCACATCTCGAGGCAGTATGTAAGGGTGCGCGCATTTGCCTCTAGAAGATAGTCAGGGGCGAGTTCGTCTGCAAAGACTTGGGTGGTTGCCGAGATTATCGCAGCATAGCTGTACCGCCGCACAAATTCATCAACGTTATCTGAGAAGAGAATTTCTGTACACAATTGTTCCAGTGCCGTTATTTGTAGATCACGGCATTCACTGCACTTAATCCATTCTAGAACCGTGGCCGGATCGGCCTCCATGCTGATGCTACAAAAAAGTATAAGTACTGAAGAAGCGTAGAAAATGCATATTTATCGGAATATTTTGTTCAGTTTTTTGAGAAACGGCAACCACAAAAGATAGGGGTGGCGTAATATTGGGGGTTACCTTAGAAAAAAGTGCAAATTAGATCCTCTATAAAATGTATATGTCAAACATAGATAGGTGGGAATACGCAGAAAATACACAGAACTCCTGCTTGCCCATCGGCGTGTACAAAACAGACTTAGACATTAAACTTGCTGTAGGCCGTCCCTTTTATTGAAGGATAAAACATTCACTGCCAATATGTACCCCAAGGCCAGGTTATAGTGGCTGCTATTAATGCATGTATGGAGGTCTTTTCTGTTTTAGAAGGATGCGTAGCTTTGAATAAAAGGTGTTTTTTTCTGTAAATATTATTTACACAAATGATGCTCGCAATTTGGTGCCCGTTAACTCGTCAGTAACCGCGAAAAGCAAAGAAGTAGTTCAGTGCAAGGCATTTAGTTGAGTACAGCCGCTATTAAATAGGTCGGTTGTTGAAACCATTTAATTAGCCCAACAGCTCTTTTAAAATATTACTTACACATAGAAAACATCTGACCTGATAAAGTACGTTAGTACGGAATTACTTTCCGTTCTACGGTCGTCGAGATAGCTGCTAAAAAAGCTCCTGCGAACATACGCACTAGAAAAACAGTTTTTGTTCGGTAAGTGATGAACTTGTGGACTAGGGCCACCCCGGATGTAATTTGAGACCATGGACTTCCACCATTCGTATTAATTACGTTCCATTTGCCCTGTAGTCGTCATTTGCTGCAAACAGCTGTTGCATCAATTCAACGGCTCCTTACATATGTAAGGAGCTGATAACAGCTGTATTATGCAAGGGCCCATTAGTAAGAATGTGCCTATGTAAAAAATCATCGTGCATTTTTCTCAAAATATGTCCTTTTTAAACCATTAATAAACATTCCAGGTGAAATTTAATTAAGTTATTTAGAGCGAAGTACGTATGTACGTACGTATACGGTTCCATAGCAATACATCAGGCTGGCAACATTTCAAGGCATAACTGTGTGACTTTGGAAATCTTTATAGACGTGCGATAGACTTTGCGCATTATTTCCCAACACATACGTTGAAGCGTGACTGGTAAACGTTGCTTATAATAAATGTTACTGTAGTAAAATTTGCCCAGAAGTGAATCGTACCATTTATTATAGGAAAACAAACTAAAAATAGGATAAAAATAATGTCACCCTTCGATAGCTAACTAAGGCACGGCCCTTGCAGTCGTAAATATGGGAGTATGTCAGTGCTAAGCGACAACTTACCCGAAACTTTACGTTTTGGGGACCTAGAGGCCTTTTAACTGATAGGTTTAGTCTTGCAGCTTATAAACTAAAATTCATAACTTAATTCTATCAATTCTAACAAACGAGATCAGGACCTAGACATGGATTTCAAACCCTAATGTTTATCGTCATTTCTACATTACTGCATGCATTTAACTCGCTTTTAAAACAGCATCCGCATCACGGTTTTATTAACAAGTGAAGACAACGGTAAATGATACGCCTTATCGGGACTGACAGGGACTATATACCACCATGCCTATTCTAAACATGGCTTGATCCTAACCCCATAAATAACAGACTGAACTGAGAAAGCAAAGGGTTTTTATCACATTTATGTGACTGGAATTAAGGTTATGCTAATTTTGCTTTCAGAGCTGCATACAAAACTTTAAACGGCGGCACTAGTGGAAGATCCGCAACCTAGAAACGCGCTTCTCGTACCCTTAACAACCATAAATGACGACAAAGTAGGATGGCAAACACAAAAAACGACAACCGAAAATGCAGAGCCGCAGGGAGTGTCGATAAATCAATCACCAAAACATCGAGTGGACAAAATGATCGAAATAAGGCACTGTTATTCTTTAATACTCCGGAATTCGAGGGTGTCGAAGCGGAAACACGTGTTCAGCATGACTCAAAAGAAATGAGCAAAATCATTCTAAAATTGCTGGACTCAAGCGATGGTCGAATATCGTGTGTTCAACTCTACAGACTGGGTATTAAACCTACCGGAGGCGGACGGCCAAAAGGCCGCGGGTCTGCATTGTCGGTGACTTTTATTGCCCACATATCAACTGGCCACATCTAATTATAGAAGGCCCTGCCTCGGA